GGTTCTGGACTCATTTGGACTGGTACTAGACTCACTTTGACTGGTTCTGTACTCACTTGGACTGGTACTAGATTCACTCGGACTGGTTCTGGACTCACTTGTACTGGTACTGGACTCACTCGGACTGGTACTGTACTCACTTGGACTGGTACTGTACTCACTTGGACTGGTACTGTACTCACTTGGACTGGTACTGGACTCACTTGGACTGGCACTAGACTCACTTGGACTGATACTAAACTCACTCGAACTGGTACTGGACTCACTCGGACTGGTACTAGACTCACTGGGACTGGTACTGGACTCACTTGGACTGGTACTGTACTCACTTGGACTGGTACTGGACTCACTTGGACTGGTACTGGACTCACTTGGACTGGTTCTAGACTCACAGGGACTGGTACTGGACTCACTTGGACTGGTACTGTACTCACTTGGACTGGTACTAGATTCACTCGGACTGGTTCTAGACTCACTTGGACTGGTACTGGACTCACTTGGATTGGTACTGGACTCACTTGGACTGGTTCTGGACTCACTTGGACTGGTACTAGACTCACTTGGACTGATACTAGACTCACTTGGACTGGTTTTAGACTCACTTGGACTGGTACTGGACTCACTTGGACTGGTACTGTACTCACTTGGACTGGTACCAGACTCACGCGGACTGGTACTGTACTCACTTGGACTGGTTCTGGACTCACTTGGACTGATACTAGACTCACTCGGACTGGTACTGGACTCACTCGGACTGGTACTAGACTCACTCGGACTGGTACTAGACTCACTCGGACTGGTTCTGGACTCACTTGGACTGGTACTAGACTCACTTGGACTGATACTAGACTCACTCGAACTGGTACTGGACTCACTCGGACTGGTACTAGACTCACTGGGACTGGTACTGGACTCACTTGGACTGGTACTGGACTCACTTGGACTGGTACTGGACTCACTTGGACTGGTTCTAGACTCACAGGGACTGGTACTGGACTCACTTGGACTGGTACTGTACTCACTTGGACTGGTACTGTACTCACTTGGACTGGTACCAGACTCACTTGGACTGGTACTAGACTCACTTGGACTGGTACTAGATTCACTCGGACTGGTTCTGGACTCACTTGGACTGGTACTAGACTCACTTGGACTGGTACTGGACTCACTTTGACTGATACTAGACTCACTCGGACTGGTACTGTACTCACTCGGACTGGTACTAGACTCACTTGGACTGGTACTGGACTCACTTGGACGGGTTCTGGACTCACTTGGACTGGTACTAGACTCACTTGGACTGATACTAGACTCACTTGGACTGGTACTGTACTCACTTGGACTGGTACTGTACTCACTTGGACTGGTACTAGATTCACTCGGACTGGTTCTGGACTCACTTGTACTGGTACTGTACTCACTTGGACTGGTACTGGACTCACTCGGACTGGTACTGTACTCACTTGGACTGGTACTGTACTCACTCGGACTGGTACTGGACTCACTTTGACTGGTACCAAACTCACTCGGACTGGTACTGTACTCACTTGGACTGGTACTAGATTCACTCGGACTGGTTCTAGACTCACTTGGACTGGTACTGGACTCACTTGGACTGGTACTGGACTCACTTGGACTGGTACTGGACTCACTTGGACTGGTTTTAGACTCACTTGGACTGGTACTGGACTCACTTGGACTGGTACTGGACTCACTCGGACTGGTACTGGACTCACTTGGACTGGTTTTAGACTCACTTGGACTGGTACTGGACTCACTTGGACTGGTACTGGACTCACTTGGACTGGTTTTAGACTCACTTGGACTGGTACTGGACTCACTTGGACTGGTACTAGATTCACTCGGACTGGTTCTGGACTCACTTGGACTGGTACTAGACTCACTCGGACTGGTACTGGACTCACTCGGACTGGTACTGGACTCACTTGGACTGGTACTAGACTCACTCGGACTGGTTCTGGACTCAATCGGACTGGTACTGGACTCACTTGGACTGGTACTGGACTCACTTTGACTGATACTAGACTCACTCGGACTGGTACTGTACTCACTTGGACTGGTACTGGACTCACTCGGACTGGTACTGTACTCACTTGGACTGGTACTGTACTCACTCGGACTGGTACTAGACTCACTCAAACTGGTACTGGACTCACTTGGACGGGTTCTGGACTCACTTGGACTGGTACTAGACTCACTTGGACTGATACTAGACTCACTCGAACTGGTACTGGACTCACTCGGACTGGTAACTAGACTCACTGGGACTGGTACTGGACTCACTTGGACTGGTACTGGACTCACTTGGACTGGTACTGGACTCACTTGGACTGGTTCTAGACTCACAGGGACTGGTACTGGACTCACTTGGACTGGTACTGTACTCACTTGGACTGGTACTGTACTCACTTGGACTGGTACTAGACTCACTTGGACTGGTACTAGATTCACTCGGACTGGTTCTGGACTCACTTGGACTGGTACTAGACTCACTTGGACTGGTACTGTACTCACTCGGACTGGTACTGGACTCACTTTGACTGGTACCAGACTCACTCGGACTGGTACTGTACTCACTTGGACTGGTACTAGATTCACTCGGACTGGTTCTAGACTCACTTGGACTGGTACTGGACTCACTTGGACTGGTTCTGGACTCACTTGGACTGGTTTTAGACTCACTTGGACTGGTACTGGACTCACTTGGACTGGTACTGTACTCACTTGGACTGGTACCAGACTCACTCGGACTGGTACTGTACTCACTTGGACTGGTACTAGATTCACTCGGACTGGTTCTGGACTCACTTGGACTGATACTAGACTCACTCGGACTGGTACTGGACTCACTCTGACTGGTACTAGACTCACTTGGACTGGTACTGGACTCACTTGGACTGGTACTGGACTCACTTGGACTGGTACTAGACTCACTTGGACTGGTACTGGACTCACTTGGACTGGTACTAGACTCACTTGGACTGGTACTAGATTCACTCGGACTGGTTCTGGACTCACTTGGACTGGTACTAGACTCACTTGGACTGGTACTGGACTCACTTTGACTGATACTAGACTCACTCGGACTGATACTGTACTCACTCGGACTGGTACTAGACTCACTTGGACTGGTACTGGACTTACTTGGACGGGTTCTGGACTCACTTGGACTGGTACTAGACTCACTTGGACTGATACTAGACTCACTTGGACTGGTACTGGACTCACTTGGACTGGTTTTGGACTCATTTGGACTGGTACTAGACTCACTTTGACTGGTTCTGTACTCACTTGGACTGGTACTAGATTCACTCGGACTGGTTCTGGACTCACTTGTACTGGTACTGTACTCACTTGGACTGGTACTGTACTCACTCGGACTGGTACTGGACTCACTTTGACTGGTACCAGACTCACTCGGACTGGTACTGTACTCACTTGGACTGGTACTAGACTCACTTGGACTGGTACTAGATTCACTCGGACTGGTTCTAGACTCACTTGGACTGGTACTGGACTCACTTGGACTGGTACTAGATTCACTCGGACTGGTACTGGACTCACTCGGACTGGTACTGTACTCACTTGGACTGGTACTGTACTCACTTGGACTGGTACTGTACTTAGAGCCCTGCACGGGCCTATTATCTGGGCCCGAGCCCGGCCCTGGCCCGAGGGGGTGGCGCCCCAGCCCGGCCCGGCCCGATATGGTTTCTCAATTTTCAGGCCCGAAACTCGCATCAAGCCCGCCTTTTTTTTTTTTTTTTGTAACCTCCCATAACAATGTTTTAGCGTAGTATATAGTGCCGCGCACTGATATGAACGCAGACTTAGCTAGAGGGCGGAGTTATACATGGTAGTGATGTGTTGCAATGAGTTCTGTGTGTGCGGAGTGGTGCAGAGTGAACATCTGTATGATGCACAGCTGTATGATACACAGCTGTATGATACACAGCTGTATGATACACAGCTGTATGATACACAGCTGTATGATACACAGCTGTATGATACACAGCTGTATGATACACAGCTGTATGATACACAGCTGTATGATACACAGCTGTATGATACACAGCTGTATGATACACAGCTGTATGATACACAGCTGTATGATACACAGCTGTATGATACACAGCTGTATGATACACAGATGCTGCAACACACCTGTAAGTAACGCTATGTGCCGTCAATGACAACACTACACAGAACAACAAACACTACAGCGTGATAGAACGCTATATTCAGTGGGTGCGTTCGTAAATCTATTCTGCCGCTCTGAAAATGAAGAGCCCGAGCCCGGCCCGTGTCCGAGGTCATTATGCGGTCATCGGCCCGAAGCCCGGCCCTCGGGCTGTCGAGCCGTCGGGGCCCTCGGGCCAAGGGCTCAAGTGCAGGGCTCTAACTGTACTCACTTGGACTGGTACTGTACTCACTTGGACTGGTACTGTACTCACTCGGACTGGTACTGGACTCACTTTGACTGGTACCAGACTCACTCGGACTGGTACTGTACTCACTTGGACTGGTACTAGATTCACTCGGACTGGTTCTAGACTCACTTGGACTGGTACTGGACTCACTTGGACTGGTTCTGGACTCACTTGGACTGGTTTTAGACTCACTTGGACTGGTACTGGACTCACTTGGACTGGTACTGTACTCACTTGGACTGGTACCAGACTCACTCGGACTGGTACTGTACTCACTTGGACTGGTACTAGATTCACTCGGACTGGTTCTGGACTCACTTGGACTGATACTAGACTCACTCGGACTGGTACTGGACTCACTCTGACTGGTACTAGACTCACTTGGACTGGTACTGGACTCACTTGGACTGGTACTGGACTCACTTGGACTGGTACTAGACTCACTTGGACTGGTACTGGACTCACTTGGACTGGTACTGGACTCACTCGGACTGGTGCTAGACTCACTTGGACTGGTACTGGACTCACTTGGACGGGTTCTGGACTCACTTGGACTGGTAGGAGTACGCCGGGACGTGGTCAGAGTCCATCTGTTGCTGTCCGCTCACTTCCTGCGACGAGGGCGCCACGGTCTGCGGAGAGTCTGTCACCACTCCCTACGGCAACACACAACACAGTCAGGACACACACCAGAGACACACAACACAGTCAGGACACACACCAGAGACACACAACACAGTCAGGACACACACCAGAGACACACAACACAGTCAGGACACACACCAGAGACACACACCAGAGACACACAACACAGTCAGGACACACAACACAGTCAGGACACACAACAGAGACACACATTTGGTGAACCATATTTAACAAAGTGCATTTTCATATTTTTTAAATATTTGAAACCTATGATTGAACAAAAACAAACACTTTGATGTCACTTTAGTTCTTGCTTTAATCCTTTTATCTTTTATAACTTCACTTTGGGATCTTGTTGTTAATGGCCTTATAAAGAATCTCTAACCTTTGAACTTTTACAATATCACATAGTTTTAAGTTAAAATATTGTGAGGTTAAAGATTCCCCACTTTACTCACTTCTCTTTTCTACAGAATATTAACACATTTAAAAAGATAACCCTCTATAGCCTCAGGTGCGCGGTCTCCCATCACCTGCTGCCCTTCCTCTTCTCAATCACCTTTAACCAGCTCTGAAGGACAGTGTCTCCATCAGCCTGATGCTAACCACTCTGCCGCTGATGTCGCCGCTCGGCTTCAGGACGAGCGATGAAACGCCCGGGGCCACTTCCTGTCTGAGCTCCTCTGTCACGGCGAGTGGGAGGAGGACGCCGAGACTGATGGTTCTACAGCAGGATAAGTGGGTCTGGGTCTGGGTCTGGGTCTCTCTCCGGTCCATCTGAGGGCCCTGACAGATGAAGACCGGCCCCAGCTCGGGTCCTGAGGCGGCGTGATGGATGATCCAACGCCACAGACGCCGTCACAGCACGCTAAGGAAGTGACAGAGTCGGCTTCCAACTTTAAATGGTCTTTTACCCAAATCCATCACCTCGGTTTGATCCGGAAACGAGAAAGTCCAACGAGATCCGGCGTTTGTGTCAGAGCCTGAAGCGGCACAGACTGGATCAGAAAGTGTCAGACTCACTTTGGTCGAGTGTTTGAAGTTCATCTTTGTGGATCTGCGTTTTTTACATTATGGAGGTTTTTTATTATTTTGGATGTTTCTGAACAAAACTAGTTCCGTTACTGCGTGTTTGGACCGAACCAGAACTGGGTCCAACTTTAGAATATCCCCACCGCTGTCAGACTGTACAATAAGTCATTTTAAGTCACTTGCATTAGGACTGAAAACCTGCACTGCTATTAACACTGTTTCTTTGGCGGCACGGTGGCTGAGTGGTTAGCCCTCTCGCCTCTCAGCAAGAAGGTCCTGGGTTTGAATCCCGGTCGGACCAGGGCCTTTCTGAGTGGAGTTTGCATGTTCTCCCCGTGTCTGCGTAGGTTTCCTCCGGGTACTCCGGTTTCCCCTACCACTAAAAACATGTACAATAGTTCTGGCATGTGCCTCCTGTACTGGCCCCGCTCCCATCTCTGTGTGGAGTGAGAGACTAATGCCCAAATATAACAATTGTAAACTGTTTTGTGACTCTGGTCTGTGAAAGGCGGTATATAAATATAGATTTCTTACTTACTTCTTTAATTTCCACTTTTTATTGTACATAATATTTCCTGCATTTACCATGTTGCACATTTATTTCTTTTTGCACAATCTGAGTGTTTCTATCCATGACAGATTTCTCCATCAGAGATCAATAAACTCTGTCTTATCTTATCTTAAAACATCAATGATATAGTAGTTATAAAGCTCATATTGACCTTTCTGTCAATGCTGCAAGTTAGTGATAATTGTGAATCATTTTAGGGGTCACTAAAATGCTCCAGACTCCAAACTGGTGCAGGGAGTTTTTACTGTTTTTTAAATATATATATATATATATATATATATTTATATTGGGCCATGTCAGTTTATTATTTTGTGTCTGGAGCATATTAGGAATTGTGTGTAAAACAATCAGGCTGTTTTTAACAACATGTTACTGCTGATACATAACATTTTATTTTACCATGATATGTATAAGACACAAACTAAATGAAACATGAATACACACAGGTCTAAGTTGGTGCGTGGCTGAGGGTCTCACCTCGACGGGCACGGCTGTAGGAGGCACAGGAGTGTACTGGGGGATGTAGGTCCCTTGCATAGGAGCCGCAGCTGCTGCCGCCGTCATGTACTGCAACACAGGAGAAGGGTCACATGACAACGTGCAGCAATCAACCTGAAAGTCTCCTTCACGGCCTGTATTTTATATATGTGCACACGCCTGTTGTTCCTTCAGTGTCCTTTAGAGGGAGCTAGAAGAATACAATACATCCTGTGGACAGAACACTGAGAGCAGACAGGAGGAAGAGGAGTTGTCCTGCTGTTCTACCACACTCTGCAAATGCACCGTGTCACAAAGAGAGGAGGAGGAGGAGGATGAAGAGGGGAGGTCTGCCGCCTCTGGTCCTCACTTTGTTGGTCATGGCTGCCCCAGTATTTCTCCACGGGTCGTCTCTCTCTACAACGGCCATTTCACACCACAGTCTGAGGACAGGACTGTGAGCTGTGGCTCTTTCTGATCATCACTGGAGGAGCACAGGCGTGTCCAGGCGGGTCCAGGCGGGTCCAGACAGGTACAGAAGGGTCCAGGTGGGTCCAGGCAGGTCCAGGCGGGTCCAGGCAGGTACAGAAGGGTCCAGACAGGTCCAGGCAGGTCCAGAGCTGCATGGGCATGTCCTCTCCGTGTGCAGAGTCAGAGTTGTAAAGGCGGAGGTGGATCAGATAAGAGCAGTAGTCGGCCTCGCTCACCTTTTCCTGAGGCTGTTCCGAAAGAAAGAAAAACAAGCCCATTGTTCTGTGGTTTGTTCTGGAGCTGTCTGAGCTGCGAGTACCAACCGGAGAAGTGACAGAGGCTGGAGTCTGACACAGGGAACACTGGAGGAGGGAGGACTCTGTAGTTTTTGGCCATGGGCCCGTGGTGCTGCTGAAGTGTCATTACCGGCAGCGTCGCTAATGGATCGGGTCCAGCTCCAGCGCTCAGTGCTAATGAGAGCAGCTAAAGGCCAGGGACACGGGTGATTAACTCCCCCCGTCAGAGCAGAGGCTTCAGCCTGCCCCGGGACGCATGTTAGTGTGTTTGTTATGTGGATCTAAGGTTATCACACGTCAGGGCGTCACAGTGACAACACAGTGCCATGTGTCCAGACTTCCTGACAGTGGAGCTCAGAGCTCCCGGCTCCGCTCTCACCTGCAGCCACTGCTGCCACAGCAGCCACTGCTGCCACAGCTGCCACAGCTGCCACTGCAGCCACTGCTGCCACTGCTGCCACTGCAGCCACTGCAGCCACTGCTGCTGCCACAGCTGCCACTGCAGCCACTGCTGCTGCCACAGCTGCCACTGCAGCCACTGCAGCCACTGCAGCCACTGCTGCTGCCACAGCTGCCACTGCAGCCACTGCTGCTGCCACAGCTGCCACTGCAGCCACTGCTGCTGCCACAGCTGCCACTGCAGCCACTGCTGCCACTGCAGCCACTGCTGCTGCCACAGCTGCCACTGCAGCCACTGCTGCCACTGCAGCCACTGCTGCCACTGCAGCCACAGCAGCCACTGCTGCCACAGCAGCCACTGCAGCCACTGCAGCCACTGCTGCCACTGCTGCTGCCACTGCTGCTGCCACAGCTGCCACTGCAGCCACTGCTGCCACTGCAGCCACAGCAGCCACTGCTGCCACTGCAGCCACAGCAGCCACTGCAGCCACTGCAGCCACTGCTGCCACTGCTGCTGCCACTGCTGCTGCCACAGCAGCCACGGTTTGAAGGGCCCATCAGATTGTTCCAGTGACCTTCTCTCATTCAGAACATTCCAATTTAGCACCAAACTGTTTTTGTGCCCTTTTTCACCTGCGGATGACGCCCAGAGATTATTAGCTCTGTCAAAATCCTCAAAGGAGACAAATGTTTCAAGATGAATTTAAATGAAGCCAAGAAAGTATGATATTTCTTTTCCTTCTGCCATAATCATTAGACTCCCGTATTTCTGTAGGTTCTACTGAACCATGAGCATCAGGCTGTGACAGAGGGTTGCCATGGTAATAAAGATCATTTTGTTTTTACGTCCCGGTCCAGCACAGACAGGTCCAGCACAGACAGGTCCAGCACAGACAGGTCCGCAGTATATGAAGCTCCCTAATTGGCCGTAAATGGCTGTAGTTGGTGGTGGTCGGAGTTGGTGGCGCACACCTGTGAGCAGCAGATGTTAAGTCTGAGGCCTTTATCACTCCTCTGCCTCCTCTTCATCACATCAGTGACACAGAGCTCCACTACAGCAGGACGTCACGCTGCAATGCAGCAGCTCACAGATCCATACACCGAGCCTGCACTGCCACTACACAACACAACACAACACAACACAACACAACACAACACAACACACGCACACACATCAGAGGCGGGAGCATAACCTTACGTTCTTGTTAAAGACACAGATGTTTGAGTCCAGAGGATGAGACTCAGACCCAGGACTGGTCAGAGCAGACTGTGGACAAACAGTTACTGGTCCACTCAGTGTGTTATTAATGGAGGAGCAGCGAGGGATGGACTCTGATGAGTATTGATCTCACAGGAGGGACCGCTGGAGTCTGAACCAAAGTCATTGTGCCTCTAGACTTTGTTAACATCTGTCTGAGGAGATCCACACAGGCCAAAATCAATGTGGCCTTTAACTACACCACATTCATCCATTTGAAACCAGACACAAAGACACAGCTCACATTTTAATGCCTTTATAACTATTAATGGTACGACTATAAAACTAGTTAAAACATTCTCAGTTCTATCAAACTGTTTTAAATACACTACAGTCGTGGATCAGAGAGCTCTGATGAAGGACAGTGCTTCACATACATCTGTCTTTCTACAACACAGAACCTGTCAATCACAACTGTCACCGTGACAACACACTTGTGGGTGTGACACATGGTGAGGAGGGTCCCCCCTGCCCCCCCGCCCCCCCCCCCCTGTGTGTGTGTGTGTGTGTGTGTGTGTGTGTCGTCTGCTGCAGCTCTGCACCAACAGACCCCACACACACCTGTGCATGAACACTGCAGTTAAAGGATTAAACGTTACAAATACACTGTAGAACTTCTATGACCTGTGAAGTTTGTAAATTAAGAATTTAATTGTGCGGCTGTGTCGTGTGCGCCTGTGCCGTGTGCGCCTGTGCCGTGTGCGCCTGTGCCGTGTGCGCCTGTGCCGTGTGTGCCGGTGCCGTGTGCGCCTGTGTCCTGTGCGCCTGTGTCCTGTTTGCCTGTGCCGTGCGCCTGTGCACCTGTATACCACAGCACCACAGCCTGTTACACCGACTCGTATTCTTGAAACACAGCGTCAGAGCGAAGCAGGAACTGGGTTTAAAGCTACAGAGAGCAAAGTCCTGTAGCTGTGGCCTGAGCATCTGTGTATACCACAGAACACACTACTGCACCTGTGTATACCACAGAACACACTACTGCACCTGATGTTTCTTCTGTTTTGTGTTGGGGCAGGTCTGAGTTCGCCTCTGGTGAGACGCCTACATCGGTTACTTCAAATGTATTAATGGTAAAAACATTACTACAGGTACAGACACAGGTACAGACACAGGTACAGACACAGGTACAGGTACAGACACAGGTACAGACACAGGTACAGACACAGGTACAGACACAGGTACAGACACAGGTACAGACACAGGTACAGACACAGGTACAGACACAGGTACAGACACAGGTACAGACACAGGTACAGACACAGGTACAGACACAGGTACAGACACAGGTACAGACACAGGTACAGACACAGCACTAGCTTATATAGAGGAGTCTTTGTAGACCTCCATAAAAGGTCGTACTTCCTGTATCTGTCGGTGAAGACCTGCAGCAGGACTTTCTGTGGATCTGTCTTTTTGGGGGATTTAGATCGACGTCGTTGGAACTTTGATGTTTTGTTGTTTTTTGGAAACGGAAACTTCCTCAAACCAGCACCAAAGCAAAGTGTCCGTCTGTAGCTTCTGCTGACCACACACTAATGGGACTCTCAGAACCAAGTGGGTCAAATGCAACTCGACAGCGACTGTGGGAGAATGTGGAGTTTATCTGGTGCAGATGTGGTTTGGTGCCAGCTTTTCTCGATCACGCACAATAAAAGACTGCACATTTCGCCCGCAGAGACGGAGAAATGGGAAACACGTCTCAAGTCCCCGAGATGATCAAGTGTGGCGTGTCGTGTGTGCCGTGCCGAAGAGAGGCTACAAAGCAAAACGCCTCAGGACACACGCTCACACACGAACAGAGCGGCAGCAGAAGAAGCCAGCGGAGAAGAAACAGCTTTAACCCACATTCTCACGTTAATACAAGCCATCAAACATCAGAAGCCATCACCGTAGATTAAGCCGGCTCTAATCCTGCCTGTTAGCGCAGCTGGGGCAGATTAGGCGCGGGGCATTCCTGACAGAGCCAACGTGGAGGCACAGGCGCCCTCACCTGGAAACACAGACTTCTCAAATGTACCAAAAAATATGTGCATTTCGGAAGCAAGTCCAAAACCACCGGCTCAAAGAATCAGCGGAAATCTGTGCAGTTGTCGATGAGGGTGTTAGATTAGAGAATCAAAGTCATTGTTTTATAGTAGGACTTGGGTCCGACCACTTGGGTCCAAAGCAGCAAGTCTAAAAACTCTTAATCTTAATCTAAATCTTAATGTTCTGAGTCTGCGTCCCGAAGTGGGAGGGTCTGTGTCTGTGCGGGACATACGTGTTATTACATGTTTTATGTTATGTCTGTATCGGTGGGCACTGACACCCCTGCTCCTCTGGGACACGGGATAATAAACAAATCTAGTATTCATAGAATACGTTGAGTCCAATAAGTCATCGGTCCATAGTTTCAGAGCGTTAACACATTTCCATGAATGTGTTTAGACCCCTGCATCAGCAAAGAACAGAAACACAACAGAGAGACATGGAACCTCAGGAGAACCAGTGACGGACAGGCCACGGGTCTGGGCCTGAGTCTGTCAGAACCATGGAGCCAGCAGAGGGCCACGGGTCTGGATCTGAGTCTGTCAGAACCATGGAGCCAGCAGAGGGCCACGGGTCTGGATCTGAGTCTGTCAGAACCATGGAGCCAGCAGAGGGCCACGGGTCTGGGTCTGAGTCTGTCAGAACCATGGAGCCAGCAGAGGGCCACAGGTCTGGGTCTGAGTCTGTCAGAACCATGGAGCCAGCAGAGGGCCACAGGTCTGGGTCTGAGTCTGTCAGAACCATGGAGCCAGCAGAGGGCCACAGGTCTGGGTCTGAGTCTGTCAGAACCATGGAGCCAGCAGAGGGCCACAGGTCTGGGTCTGTCAGAACCATGGAGCCAGCAGAGGGCCACAGGTCTGGGTCTGAGTCTGTCAGAACCATGGAGCCAGCAGAGGGCCACAGGTCTGGGTCTGAGTCTATCAGAACCATGGAGCCAGCAGAGGGCCACGGGTCTGGGCCTGAGTCTATCAGAACCATGGAGCCAGCAGAGGGCCACGGGTCTGGATCTGGGTCTGTCAGAACCATGGAGCCAGCAGAGGGCCACGGGTCTGGGTCTGAGTCTGTCAGAACCATGGAGCCAGCAGAGGGCCACGGGTCTGGGCCTGAGTCTATCAGAACCATGGAGCCAGCAGAGGGCCACGGGTCTGGGCCTGAGTCTATCAGAACCATGGAGCCAGCAGAGGGCCACAGGTCTGGGTCTGTCAGAACCATGGAGCCAGCAGAGGGCCACGGGTCTGGGTCTGTCAGAACCATGGAGCCAGCAGAGGGCCACGGGTCTGGGTCTGTCAGAACCATGGAGCCAGCAGAGGGCCACGGGTCTGGGTCTGTCAGAACCATGGAGCCAGCAGCACCACTCTTGTTTTTAATTACAGATTCAGCACCTGTTTGATATTTTACACCATCCTTTTCAGATTCTGTCAAATATCGCCGCATGACGCCATCTTCTTCGTTTCCTCTACTCTTCGCATACGGCCACCATCGAAGAATGGAATTTTTATTTGCCGATGGTAGTAAACAAGGCAAACATCAGCCAATACAGAGAGTAAGTAGGTAAGGTTTATTTATATAGCGCATTTTACAGACCAATGTCACCCAAAGCACTTCACAAAGTTCAAAGTTCAGATATAGTTCCATTCTCTCCACACGGTGATGAAGGAAACGAGCCGGACACACTGGTCCATCAAAACCTCCGACCAAACACCATCCACTCACTCACTCCTATTGTGCAGGTTTTTAGTGGTTGTGGAAACTGGCACACCCGGAGGAAACCCACAGACACGGGGAAAACACCCAAACTCCACTCAGAAAGGCCCTGTTCTGACCAGGATTCGAACCCAGGACCTTCTTACTGAGAAGCGAGAACCACCCGTGGCTGTTCATCCTTTCACACCTCTTTGAAGCAGAAAGTTGGTTTAACGATGAAATTCTAGATTAAAAAGGCCCTAAAAGCATCTCCATCACAGCAGCAGAACGGGTCCATTCCAAAGGTTCTGAGGGTGGACACATCCCCCGGGCTTGGCTTGTATTAGATTCACTCTCTTTACAAACAAAATAATCAATGATTTAAATTAAATATAAGATTTCTGACAAGAACAGAAAGAGCAACAACTGAGACCAACCAAATGCAAGAGTTTCCTTTTCTCTTCCTTCAATCACAAAACCCAGATTTCACTTTTTATTAACGGAGTATTGCCCCGGTGAAAAGACTGATCTCTCAGTCTGTGCAGCGGCTCGGGTCAAGATGTATTTCTGTTTGAACAAAAAGAAAGTCCAGGAAGATTTTTTATTTTACGACTAAAAAGAAATCACGTTAGCTTTTGGTTTCCTATTGTCAATAACCGTGAGTTATATTTAAATGTATTTACCTCATAACATTCAAACAGTCATTTTCAAGGACTTCTGTAAATCAATTCTCTGGAGTCTTTTCACACGGAACAAGGAGATTCTGTAAAGCGCTTTATAGACCCGTTAAACTGGGAATGACGAGTGGTACTGCTGCAAGTCTTGGGTGGTGGGGGAAACCGGAGCACCCGGAGGAAACCCGTTCAGGCATGAGGAGGAACATGATGAATCTCTTTGAAAAATACTTAAAACATAGATTCTGCAACTTCATAATTTTCAGTCCTTCAAGATGACTGCAGACACACACACAAGCACGCACAGAGACACACACAGACACACACACAAACACACAGAGACACACACACAGACACACGCACACACACACACACACAGAGACACACACAGAGACACACGCACACACAGAGACACACACACACAAGCACACGCACAGAGACACACACACAGACAGACACACACGCACACACACACACACACACACACACACACACACACACACAGAGACACACACACACACACACACAGAGAGACACACACACAGATAGAGACACACACACACACACACACAGATCAAAGGTTGAGGTAGTGGAATAAGTGGTGGCTGGAGCGAGAGCCTTTCAGAGTCGTATGACACCTTTAAGTCGGACTGATCCACGAGAGAGAGAAAGAGGGGGAGGGAGAGAGGGGGGAGGGAGAGAGGGGGGAGAGAGAGGGGAGGGAGGGAGAGAGGGGGGAGGGAGAGAGGGGGGAGAGAGAGAGGGGGGAGGGAGGGAGAGAGGGGGGAGGGAGGGAGAGAGGGGGGAGGGAGGGAGAGAGGGGGAGGGAGAGAGGGGAGGGAGGGAGAGAGGGGGGAGGGAGGGAGAGAGAGAGGGGGGAGGGAGGGAGGTGAGAAAGAGAGGGGTGGAGAGAGGACGACGGGGAGGAGGGGGGTTCCTGCTGGAGGTGACTGCCAGCGCGGCCTATTTATGGAAGAATGGGCGAGTGATGGAGTGATAGACAGCAGTGATTTAAAGAGTGTGGAGAGAGAGACATGTGGCGGCGTTAAGCTTCAGAGGAAATGGGTTTAACATGTCGAGAGAGAAACACAGAGCAAGAAATGCTGCGTACCAGGGGAAAAACACAATATCCAACTGAAATACATGTACAGGGCTGAAATAAGCAACTGTTGGGATTTACATGACTTTACATTTAGCGATAGCATTATCTGGAAGTTTGCTGACGATGGACGAAAACAGGATTTACTGCTTAGAAACAATGGAGGAAATGCATAACAATAAAAGCCTGGAGTCGAAGCCTTCAATAATCTAAACTAGTTATTATTCAAAGCCATTCATCTGGAGAAAAATGGCAAAGAACACCAAAAATAATCATACTAACCATAAGTATAATTAAGACTTGATGCAGGGTTTGTATCTATTTAAATGAAGTTTAGATACCATTTATATTGGAAAATTAAAATTAAAATTGAGAAAATGCCATAACCACGACCTTGGAAACGATCCGTCTTGCAATGTTGATATCATTATTGGACAGACCCTGCATAAGGTCGTTAAAGCAACTGTTTGTGTTTTAACAGTCAGTACAGTTATAACCACACGTATGTTGCCTGAAGGTTCCTCCTCAGCACTGATTACTGATGCAATCCACCTGCCGGGGTTAAGCTAGCAACGGTGCAAACTATCTGTGTTACGTACGCTTCCTTAAGTTTGCAAAACTAAACAAAACCAGGACCAACCCAGTCTTTGCCTCAGCACAAAACTACACACGACAGATTTCCAGAACATAGTTTAGTGTTGTCCCAACGTCTCGCTGTGAACACGGTTATTTTGACTTGAGCGACTGCTGCCTCGACTCTGCTCAAAGGAAATGTCAAATCCGTCTGTTTCTCTGAGTGGATTCTGTCCAGAACCAAATGTTGACCTGGTCCAGGGAAACACCAGAGGGACGTATGGAGCCGGTGCAGAGAAGAGGAAGTGTTTTTGTGATGTATTCTACGTTTGCCTTGAAGGTCCAACATAACGGTGTTAAAATATCTGATTCAAACAAACAGGAGATGATCCAACACTGAGGCAGTACAAGTGAAGCAGCTCAAACTCTGAGGAGACAGGACGGAGTCAGATCCAAATATGAAGTTGTTCAGTGACAGATTATTGGGTTAATTACTGTTGATCTTTGTGGCACTAAATGACCTCAATGGGAAACTTCATGATCAAAACGATACAAAAGCACACACACACACACACACACACATCGAACCTGTGGGATCTGACTGCTCCAGATGCTGTCAATGTTGAGGAGTATATGTTTTTGGACCAGTCTAGTTTAGCTGCTGTGGACTTGAGCTGCAATCTCACTCCGGGCCGGTGGAGGTGTACCCGGAAACAGAATTACCCAATGCTTTTGTATGGAGTCTTCTTTCCTCTAGAAAACGTCTTTAAAGGATGGTCCAAAATCAAACTTCAAACCACGTCCAACCACAACGACACATTCTCTACCAAGGTCTCTACTGCTGTGTCTTTAGCTTTAAGAATCATCAACCTGTGTTGTTCCTGTCTGTGTGGGTCAGTATGGAGAGGGTCAGTATGAGAGGGTCAGTATGAGAGGGTCAGTATGAGAGGGTCAGTATGAGAGGGTCAGTATGAGAGGGTCAGTATGAGAGGGTCAGTATGAGAGGGTCAGTATGGAGAGGGTCAGTATGGAGAGGGTCAGTATGAGAGGGTCAGTATGAGAGGGTCAGTATGAGAGGGTCAGTATGAGAGGGTCAGTATGAGAGGGTCAGTATGAGAGGGTCAGTATGAGAGGGTCAGTATGAGAGGGTCAGTATGAGAGGGTCAGTATGAGAGGGTCAGTATGAGAGGGTCAGTATGAGAGGGTCAGTATGAGAGGGTCAGTATGGAGAGGGTCAGTATGAGAGGGTCAGTATGAGAGGGTCAGTATGAGAGGGTCAGTATGAGAGGGTCAGTCAGAGGGTCAGTATGAGAGGGTCAGTATGAGAGGGTCAGTATGAGAGGGTCAGTATGGAGAGGGTCAGTATGAGAGGGTCAGTATGAGAGGGTCAGTATGGAGAGGGTCAGTATGAGAGGGTCAGTATGGAGAGGGTCAGTATGGAGAGGGTCAGTATGGAGAGGGTCAGTGTGGAGAGGGTCAGTATGAGAGGGTCAGTATGAGAGGGTCAGTATGAGAGGGTCAGTATGAGAGGGTCAGTATGGAGAGGGTCAGTATGGAGAGGGTCAGTATGGAGAGGGTCAGTGGGGAGAGGGTCAGTATGAGAGGGTCAGTGTGGAGAGGGTCAGTATGAGAGGGTCAGTATGAGAGGGTCAGTATGGAGAGGGTCAGTATGAGAGGGTCAGTGTGGAGAGGGTCAGTATGGAGAGGGTCAGTATGAGAGGGTCAGTATGGAGAGGGTCAGTATGGAGAGGGTCAGTATGGAGAGGGTCAGTATGGAGAGGGTCAGTATGAGAGGGTCAGTGTGGAGAGGGTCAGTGTGGAGAGGGTCAGTGTGGAGAGGGTCAGTATGGAGAGGGTCCGTATGGAGAGGGTCAGTATGGAGAGGGTCAGTATGGAGAGGGTCAGTGTGGAGAGGGTCAGTGTGGAGAGGGTCAGTATGGAGAGGGTCAGTATGGAGAGGGTCCGTATGGAGAGGGTCAGTATGGAGAGGGTCAGTATGAGAGGGTCAGTATGGAGAGGGTCAGTATGGAGAGGGTCAGTATGAGAGGGTCAGTGTGGAGAGGGTCAGTGTGGAGAGGGTCAGTATGAGAGGGTCAGTGTGGAGAGGGTCAGTATGGAGAGGGGTCAGTATGGAGAGGGTCAGTGTGGAGAGGGTCAGTGTGGGGAGGGTCAGTATGGAGAGGGTCAGTATGGAGAGGGTCAGTATGGAGAGGGTCAGTATGGAGAGGGTCAGTATGGAGAGGGTCAGTATGGAGAGGGTCAGTGTGGAGAGGGTCAGTGTGGAGAGGGTCAGTGTGGAGAGGGTCAGTGTGGAGAGGGTCAGTATGGAGAGGGTCAGTATGGAGAGGGTCAGTATGGAGAGGGTCAGTGTGGGAGAGGGTCAGTGTGGAGAGGGTCAGTATGGAGAGGGTCAGTATGGAGAGGGTCAGTATGGAGAGGGTCAGTATGGAGAGGGTCAGTATGGAGAGGGTCAGTATGGAGTTGAGGGTCAGTATGGAGAGGGTCAGTGTGGAGAGGGTCAGTGTGGAGAGGGTCAGTATGGAGAGGGTCAGTATGGAGAGGGTCAGTATGGAGAGGGTCAGTATGGAGAGGGTCAGTATGGAGAGGGTCAGTGTGGAGAGGTCAGTGTCAGTATGGAGAGGGTCAGTATGGAGAGGGTCAGTATGGAGAGGGTCAGTATGGAGAGGGTCAGTGTGGAGAGGGTCAGTATGGAGAGGGTCAGTATGGAGAGGGTCAGTATGGAGAGGGTCAGTATGGAGAGGGTCAGTATGAGGGGTCAGTGTGGAGAGGGTCAGTGTGGAGAGGGTCAGTATGGAGAGGGTCAGTATGGAGAGGGTCCGTATGGAGAGGGTCAGTATGGAGAGGGTCAGTATGGAGAGGGTCAGTGTGGAGCAGTAGGGTCAGTGTGGAGAGGGTCAGTATGGAGAGGGTCAGTATGGAGAGGGTCAGTATGGAGAGGGTCAGTATGGAGAGGGTCAGTATGGAGAGGGTCAGTATGGAGAGGGTCAGTATGGAGAGGGTCAGTATGAGAGGGTCAGTATGAGAGGGTCAGTATGAGAGGGTCAGTATGGAGAGGGTCAGTATGGAGAGGGTCAGTATGGAGAGGGTCAGTATGGAGAGGGTCAGTGTGGAGAGGGTCAGTGTGGAGAGGGTCAGTATGGAGAGGGTCAGTATGGAGAGGGTCAGTATGGAGAGGGGTCAGTATGGAGAGGGTCAGTATGGAGAGGGTCAGTATGGAGAGGGTCAGTATGAGAGGGTCAGTGTGGAGAGGGTCAGTGTGGAGAGGGTCAGTGTGGAGAGGGTCAGTGTGGAGAGGGTCCGTATGGAGAGGGTCAGTATGGAGAAGGTCAGTATGGAGAGGGTCCGTATGGAGAGGGTCAGTATGGAGAGGGTCAGTATGAGAGGGTCAGTGTGGAGAGGGTCAGTGTGGAGAGGGTCAGTATGGAGAGGGTCAGTATGGAGAGGGTCAGTATGGAGAGGGTCAGTATGGAGAGGGTCAGTGTGGAGAGGGTCAGTGTGGAGAGGGTCAGTATGGAGAAGGTCAGTATGGAGAGGGTCAGTATGGAGAAGGTCAGTATGGAGAGGGTCAGTATGAGAGGGTCAGTGTGGAGAGGGTCAGTGTGGAGAGGGTCAGTATGGAGAGGGTCAGTATGGAGAGGGTCAGTATGGAGAGGGTCAGTATGGAGAGGGTCAGTATGGAGAGGGTCCGTATGGAGAGGGTCAGTGTGGAGAGGGTCAGTATGGAGAGGGTCAGTATGGAGAGGGTCAGTATGGAGAGGGTCAGTATGGAGAGGGTCAGTATGGAGAGGGTCAGTGTGGAGAGGGTCAGTATTGAGAGGGTCAGTATGGAGAGGGTCCGTATGGAGAGGGTCAGTATGGAGAGGGTCAGTATGGAGAGACCGAGGACGTCTGTCTGCAGTGTAGCTCTGCTTTGGTTTCAGCTCTGAATGAGAAAAGTTGGAGGCTGCTCACACTTCCGGTTGTGCCCAGGGAGAGGTGGTTCATCTGCTGCGTCAGGGGCGCCATCATGCTCGCTGGCTGCATGGACATCGTGTGGTCCATGGTCGGCGTGATCACTGCTCCCTGCGACAAAAGACACAGAAGCTTAGAATCATGGAAAAACAAGTGAAACTGTAGGTTAAAAATGGACAGATAGCCAGTTAACATGCTCTAGTGAATGCTAGTATTATGCGATAGGAACAAGCTAAGGTATGCTCTGTTGCTAACTTGGAGCCACTGGTCCATAGGGAGAAGGATGAGCAAAGTCCATACATGTTGATAAATGTTCTTAAATGTCCATACATGTCCTTAAAGGTGCATTAAAGGATTTTGTTAGCTTAGTAGCAGCATCCGAGTCAAAAACACCAGTCAAAATCCAACTCCAAATAATTTATGATTTATTTTTTGAGGCTACAGGCATTTGGTCCATTCCCATTTGAAAACACACAATAACTTGACTTTTTGGGTCTAAGGACGTTCCTCCACAGTATTTTAAAAACTGCGTCTGGATAAATCATCGACTGCATCTTTAAATATTCCAGACCCACCTCCTTAGATCAAAATAAACTTCTGACTTTCATTTTCAGTCACAGTGAGAATCGCAGGATAAGGGACTATCGCAACCTTACCATCCGCACGCACTAGTTGTACAACCATTTGCAAACATTTTCAAGATTGAAGACTTTATTTGGTCCAGCTCTGACTGCCACCCCCCCCGACCTTAAAATGGATTGAGGGGAAGAAAATGGATGGATGGACTTTATTTGCCATTTGCAGTAAAACCCCATTGAAAAAACTGTGCAAGGCCAACCCCAGAGTGCACCAAGAGCACACACCAGAGCTCTTGCCACGGCGCCTTTTTTCTGGTTGTGTGTGAATGGTTGGTGGTGGTGGGAGGGGCCGATGGCACAGACTGGTTGCCTCGCTTCTGTCAGTGTGCCCCAGGGCAGCTGTGGCTACAGTAGTTTATCACCACTGTGTTTGGAGAGAGAGGATACTGACGTGAAGAGACTTTGAGAGTCCAGAAAAGCGCTGAATAAAAACCAATGCGTTATTATTTTGGGCGGCACGGTGGCAGAGTGGTTAGCACTAGAAGGTACTGGGTTCGAATCCCGGTCAGAACAGGGCCTTTGTGAGTGGAGTTTGCATGTTCTCCACGTGTCTGCGTAGGTTTCCTGTGGGTGCTCCAGTTTCCCCTACCACTATAAACATGTCCAATAGGTCTGTGCCTCCTGTACTGGCCCCGCCCATCTCTGTGTGGGGTCAGAGACTAAGGTAACAACTGTGAACCGCTTTGACTCTGGTCTGAGAAAGGCGCTATAATAAAAAGGGATTACTTACATACTATTATTATTACTATTATTATTATCATTATTAAAGCGCTAATAACCAGTATTTTTGCTCAGTGGGAATGAGCCTTTTTCTTGCTTCACTTTTCAATCCATTCAGTTTTAGCGTATCGACCCGACACATAACCCACGGATTTTTTTAGCATAAACTTTACCCATTTATCCATTATTTTACCTCTGTACAAACTGCACATGACCTTTTTGTAAAATCCATGAATTCTAATGTTTTCCACCCATTACCGTGGTCCGTCCACACCCGCTGCGTCCACAACATCTCTGTGTGTGCTCCATAAATCAGATTCTTTCGTCTTCACTCTGCACTTCCTGTAAACTCCTCACTGTTCCCCGACGGTCCTGGGGGAACGCCGGGAGCAGTGGAACATGGATAGTACATGAGAAAACTGTTGTGCTTTTATCTGCTCCTCATCAAACCCGCTCCCTGTCAGCACCACCGATGCCCCTAGAGGACAGTTTTGGAGTCACGCCCCGGTTAAGCTGGAAAAAAATGAGAATAGAAAGTGGTATCGCGCTGGGTTTGTCTTTGAGCAGGAATAGAATCTCACCTGCTCTGCTCCTGTCGGTCCTGAGTTTACACCAAAGCAGAAAATACAAAGTGAATCTGTTTGACGGCCTTTTTTATACGACTATTATTAACAGTTTTAAAATAGCTCTGGCTTGTGTTGTTGCAAAGACAGGTTCTATAATTAGACAAACATGATTTTTCACTCATTAAAAGTGTATGACTGAGAATAGAGGCCAGTTTATCCAAATGCACTGAATATTGTGTTTTGAAAATTTATTAATTATTAGTTTATGTTTTTGTAGATTTGAATGATTTATGGAGGTTGTGATGCGCTTTGTGTTGCCTTGTGTAGGAAGTTGATTGATTGATATAGTATTTAATGTCATATTTAAAAGTATTTAAACAAGGATGTCCTTCTGTGAGAGCGATCTGCTGCAAACCCATTCTTTTGATAGTGTCCGAGTGCGTCTTCACTGAAGGATAAAGCTTTTATTATTCTAAAAACACAAGTTCAAGTTCATTTGCAAAAACAGAAATGTCTGTTTAGTAAATTTGTGGTGAGGGGGTTAATCTGCAGGGGGGGGGGGGTCCACAGGTAGATGGCTGCTCCTTCAACAACGATACGGCCTTGGTGTTTCAGGGGGGGCTTCAGGCAAAGTGGGGTTGAGTGTCTTGCTCAGGGACACAACGGCAGCAGAGATCAGAGGGAGCAGGTGACATAGGTTATGGGGGGGAATCGAACCCACGACGCCATCTATACAGGGACCTGGCTTCCCACAAATGTCTCCCTACATTTCTCCGAATAAGTTACAGGGCGTCACTTTTTGTCTATTTCACAACACATTTTTCAAAAACACCGGCGCCTAAAGTGTTAATCTCTCGACTACTGCAAGAAAATATACCAAAAACCCACATTTATCCTTGAAATCCACAATGAACCAAAAACAGGACGGTGAAAAGGCAGAAATACGACCGGCAGGAGAAGGCAGAGCGGACGACAAACCGAAGCGACGGGCCTCATTAAGGAAAAAGCTAGTGGAGGTCATCAGGGACTGAAGGCGTGACAGGATGTACGAAGGCTGAGGAGGGACAAACGGCGTGGGATCCCAGAGGCGGTGGGCGATAGCTGTTAGCGATTGAGCCGCTGACAATGCCTTTATAATGGGAACGAGAGGGAAACGGAAGGCCTTAATCCACACACGTGTCAGCCCGAGTTAAGCACATTTGTGATTTTGATTTTGTGTGTTTGGAGCCGAGTGTCTGTGAGAGAGCGGCGGGTTTGGCCCCGAGTGAAAAGATGGGACTGGAACGAGACCGACGTAAGGAGTCCATATGTAGTTTTGATTTGTCCGATGGGAGTCAGGGAGGATGGGGTGTGTCCGAGATGATTGACAGCTACGACACATGGCCTTGTTTTGTAGAAAGTTCCATCTAATTTTGATGTAACAAGTCTAGCGCCTTCTGGTGGTGATTTTGAGAGTAACACGACATTATTGGCAATGACGGCTGAGGCAGGGGTCTCTAAGCTGTAGCTCGCCAGCCCCTTCCTGGTAGCTCCCGAGAGGATAAAGAATTAACACATGACATTTGGAGTTAATAGATATGAATATAAATGTGGTTATACAGTATTATAGTATATTTTTATATTTTTATATAGTATATTTTTATATTTTTATATTTTTATATTTTTTGTTCTCCATGTGTCTTCTCTCTTATTCTAATTATTTTATTAGGAGTAGCTCTCTGCCTCCTCTGGTATACAACAGTAGCTCTCTGCCTCCTCTGGTATACAACAGTAGCTCTCTGCCTTCGCTGGTATACAACAGTAGCTCTGTCTTCTCTGGTATACAACAGTAGCTCTCTGCCTCCTCTGGTATACAACAGTAGCGCTCTGCCTCCTCTGGTATACAACAGTAGCTCTCTGTCTCCTCTGGTATACAACAGTAGCTCTCTGCCTCCTCTGGTATACAACAGTAGCTCTCTGCCTCCTCTGGTATACAACAGTAGCTCTCTGCCTCCTCTGGTATACAACAGTAGCTCTCTGCCTCCTCTGGTATACAACAGTAGCGCTCTGCCTCCTCTGATATACAACAGTAGCTCTCTGTCTCCTCTGGTATACAACAGTAGCTCTCTGCCTCCTCTGGTATACAACAGTAGCGCTCTGCCTCCTCTGGTATACAACAGTAGCTCTCTGTCTCCTCTGGTATACAACAGTAGCTCTCTGCCTCCTCTGGTATACAACAGTAGCTCTCTGCCTCCTCTGGTATACAACAGTAGCTCTCTGCCTCCTCTGGTATACAACAGTAGCTCTCTGCCTCCTCTGGTATACAACAGTAGCGCTCTGCCTCCTCTGATATACAACAGTAGCTCTCTGTCTCCTCTGGTATACAACAGTAGCTCTCTGCCTCCTCTGGTATACAACAGTAGCGCTCTGCCTCCTCTGATATACAACAGTAGCTCTCTGTCTCCTCTGGTATACAACAGTAGCTCTCTGCCTCCTCTGGTATACAACAGTAGCTCTCTGCCTCCTCTGGTATACAACAGTAGCTCTCTGCCTCCTCTGGTATACAACAGTAGCTCTCTGCCTCCTCTGGTATACAACAGTAGCTTTATTTTACAAACTTCTAAAGCTCAGTTATTTTTCTAATTGTGAAGATGGAGAGATGTTTGTTTAAGGCCAGCAGCAGTTAGACCCGCCCCCACAGGTCCCTGATTGGATGGAATGAATTCAAATCCTTGACGGACAGCTGATACCCTCACCCTGGTCCAACTCTTCTCCTCCAGAAATTCTTATCTTGGTGATGCTTATTCCAATCTCGTTTAAATACTTAGTTTTGATGATTCCACCGGGTCATTTGGTCCAAAATATTTATTATTATTAAAGTTAGTAAGACCTCTTCACAGACCATTGACACTTGTGTGCATTAATGTGTATGTGTACTGTTGTAGCCACAGCTGCCTTGGGACAGGGTGGCCTTAGCTGACATCACCAGGCCCTGCTCAGCCTCAGAGGGGTTCCAGGATCAGGTTTAGAAAAGCAGCTAAAGCCACAAAGTACTATTTCTGTAAAGAAATGATTTTTCTGCATGTTTTACGTCTGTGGATGTGTTTCTCGCCCACAGTGCAGTGGTGTGTGCACGTATGGAGCACCTGGAGGAAAACCCATTTCACTAAAGATGTTATTGATGTCATTGATCGGCTGCAGACCAGAGACGGATGATACCAGTGTCGTTACGCGCTGCACCAGAGACTATGTACAGTAAACAATGAATCTAGTAAAAATCTAACGACCTGTGTTTATTTTAACGACCGCTCATTACGATAAACGTGTCTGATGCAGAGTGGATCGTGTTTGTTCTGCTCCGGGAACAACGGACTCCAGGAAACATAAAGGGGACGAGATGGAGAGGACACAGGAGGACACGTAGATACCAGCGAGATGAAGACAGATGTGTATTTCAGCTGGAACCATGTGTCACAGCGAAAACTAACACGACTCTCACTTCAACAACAGCAAGAAATGTTTGTCATTTATATTCATACAAAACAAACAGGACTGTGGTCTCTCCTATGGTCCAGTACCATGTGGTCTCTCCTATGGTCCAGTACCATGTGGTCTCTCCTATGGTCCAGTACCATGTGGTCTCTCCTATGGTCCAGTACCATGTGGTCTCTCCTATGGTCCAGTACCATGTGGTCTCTCCCTATGGTCCAATACCATGTGGTCTCTCCTATGGTCCAGTACCATGTGGTCTCTCCCTATGGTCCAGTACCATGTGGTCTCTCCTATGGTCCAGTACCATGTGGTCTCTCCTATGGTCCAATACCATGTGGTCTCTCCTATGGTCCAGTACCATGTGGTCTCTCCCTATGGTCCAATACCATGTGGTCTCTCCTATGGTCCAATACCATGTGGTCTCTCCTATGGTCCAGTACCATGTGGTCTCTCCCTATGGTCCAGTACCATGTGGTCTCTCCTATGGTCCAGTACCATGTGGTCTCTCCTATGGTCCAATACCATGTGGTCTCTCCTATGGTCCAGTACCATGTGGTCTCTCCCTATGGTCCAGTACCATGTGGTCTCTCCTATGGTCCAGTACCATGTGGTCTCTCCTATGGTCCAGTACCATGTGGTCTCTCCTATGGTCCAGTACCATGTGGTCTCTCCTATGGTCCAGTACCATGTGGTCTCTCCTATGGTCCAATACCATGTGGTCTCTCCTATGGTCCAGTACCATGTGGTCTCTCCCTATGGTCCAGTACCATGTGGTCTCTCCTATGGTCCAGTACCATGTGGTCTCTCCTATGGTCCAGTACCATGTGGTCTCTCCTATGGTCCAATACCATGTGGTCTCTCCTATGGTCCAGTACCATGTGGTCTCTCCCTATGGTCCAGTACCATGTGGTCTCTCCCTATGGTCCAGTACCATGTGTTTTTATACTTGTTTGTGTCCTTATACTTCCTATAATCTGATGCTACAGTTAGAGGTCCATCAGGTCAGCGGGGGCTTCAGGCAAAGTGGGGTTAAGTGTCTTGCCCAAACATCAGTAGGAATCGTAATGTAGATCTTGTGGTGGGTTTAAACCCACAACCTTCAGCCTCTAAGGCCAATGCTCTGCCAACTGAGCCACTGTCGTCCCAGAGTTATTGTTCATTTATCTTGTGCTGTTTGCGCCTCATTCCACTGTTATTATTATTATTATTATAGAGAATTATAAAGTTACTGCTCCAATAAACGTCACAGACGTTTTACTCGCTACAATCTGAATGTGTGCAAAATGTCAATAACAATTCTACAATGTTTTACATTTCTTTTTATTATTATTATTATGTTTAAGACAGAGATTTTATTCTTGTTATTGATGCTAGAGAGATCTTGTTTGATTTTAATTAGTATGGCTACTGTTCATTTAACTTATGCTCCTCATTCTACTGTTCTATAATTTGTGATGCAACACTGACATTTCCCACTGGACGAATCTTAATCTTAATCTTAAAACTGAAAGCTGTTTGCTTTGGGAGTCCTAGTGTGAACACAAATCCATGTTTGGGACATGTGTGAGAGCGACGTGTGCCGCAGGTTCATAAGTCTGGACACCCCATCAGAGGATCACAGCCCCCTCTGTCAGCGCAGCAGGTTTTATGATCCAACATTACTACAGTGATCACTGCTCAGTCCGACACCGAGGAAACTCTTACAAATAAAAATAAAACTTCAGGAGGAAAAAACGTGAAGCTTCGTAGGAACTGACTAAAGCTTAAAGAGAAGATCACATTTGTGATGATTTTAGCAAAGAAACGACTCGAAAAGTCAAGTTGAGGATTTCAATTGGCTGCTGGGGGTTTTATGTCCCGTTGGTATCGTAAGTAATAAACAATTACTTACAATTAATAAACAATGTTTATTAATATATTATGAATTTACAGAGTCACAAAGTGCTTTACAACTGGCATTTGTCTCTCACTCCAACCGGAGGAAACCGGAGCACCTGGAGGAAACCTACGCAGGCACTGGGAGAACATGCAAACTTCACTCAGAAAGGCCTTGTAGCGACCAGGATTCGAAACCAGGACCTTCTGGCTGAGAAGCGAGAGTGCTAACCACACTCGCCCAAGAATGGAATTCACTTAAATGATATTCTTGTTAGACACCAGGCACGACAGAAAAAATCCACGCACACCCACCCGCATCCACCCTCATCTACCCGCATCCACCCTCATCTACCCGCATCCACCCTCATCTACCCGCATCCACCCTCATCTACCCGCATCCACCCTCATCTACCCGCATCCACCCTCATCTACCCGCATCCACCCGTGTCTACCCGCATCTACCCGCGTCTACCCGCATTGACCCACGTCTAACCGCATCTACCCGCATTGACCCACGTCTAACCGCATCTACCCGCATTGACCCACGTCTAACCGCATCTACCCGCATTGACCCACGTCTAACCGCATCTACCCGCATTGACCCACGTCTAACCGCATCTACCCGCATTGACCCACGTCTACCCGCATTGACCCACGTCTACCCGCGTCTACCCGCAGGTGCATTCTTTTAAATCCTTAAAAAAGAGGCAGTGTTATTCCCTCTGATCCCGCCGCAGGAGTCGCAGCTCGGGGCAGATGCTCCACACAAAGGCGGCAGCTCGGACCAAAGTCGGTTAAATTCACGTGTCAAGCCGGTCCTTTTCTTTAATACGGATCTCATTTGTTAAACGCCGAGTCCTCATTGTAATTTGGACAGCGGGACGGTGGCCACGGAGCCGTAGATTAACATGTGGCGGTCGATAAGAGGAAGGATTTGTCACCGGAGGCTGCGGCGTTTATCGGCTGCACAATGAAATACAGATGAGAGGAGATGATGGATCCCACCTCCGTCTATTGATTTATGGTCTGTCCGTCATGCAGGAAATCCCATTCGCTGGCGGACGGTGTAGACCTCCGCAGGCCGCATTTGACCCCCCTGTGACCGGGCGATAAAGACGCCACAATAATCTCCCCGCCATTACCACCGCGATGAAATGAGAGTTGTATTATTGGAAGTTATCTTATGAAGCATAAATGGTTCTTTTGATGGTTCTACTCCCGACTGGCATGTGTCCTTGGGAAAGGCATTACTATTATCACTATTTTTAGCACATAAATCAAGCCTTAAGGATTAGAATCCCAGAGTACAAAGCCGAGCGGGCGATAATTAAAGCCTCAATTACACAGAAGATAATATATTCTTTAGACTTTTTTTTACATTGATAGAAATTCTGGTCTGGAATTTTGGCTTTACCAGGTTTTTCCACATTGTTTTCTTACTCTGTATTTGAAAGTATCTAAATTAGCATAAAAAAGAAGCTAGCATAAAATCTCTAGCTTTAGCATAATAAAGAAGCTAGCATAAAATCTCTAGCTTTAGCATAATAAAGAAGCTAGCATAAAATCTCTAGCTTTAGCATAATAAAGAAGCTAGCATAAAATCTCTAGCTTTAGCATAATAAAGAAGCTAGCATAAAATCTCTAGCTTTAGCATAATAAAGAAGCTAGCATAAAATCTCTAGCTTTAGCATAATAAAGAAGCTAGCATAAAATCTCTAGCTTTAGCATAATAAAGAAGCTAGCATAAAATCTCTAGCTTTAGCATAATAAAGAAGCTAGCATAAAATCTCTAGCTTTAGCATAATAAAGAAGCTAGCATAAAATCTCTAGCTTTAGCATAATAAAGAAGCTAGCATAAAATCTCTAGCTTTAGCATAATAACAAAGTAAAATGAATCCAAAATGTGAGTATAGATTGAGAGATAGAATTGCAATGCCATCGCCATGGAGACCAACAGGTTTGAGACCCGACACACTGCAAGTTACATAGTGCAGCTTTAATCCGAGGCCGTTTCCTGGCGTGTGATTGGGCGCAGAGCCAGAGGTGCAGCGTGATGGAGCGTGTAACAGTATTTGTCACGGCGTCACAGGAGGTCCTTCGCTCTCGCACTCGTTTATCAGCTTCTTTTGCAGATGAATGGATCAGTTCACACGCCGCGATCTGGAGACACTTTGGGCAAATTTGGACGTGATAACTTTGGGCCGCTTTGGCAAATCTCCATCAATGGTTTGAAAAACTAACGGACGTTTTATAAGTCCATGTGGGGTTTAATAACTCGAGGGAAAAAAGTTGTTGCCGATTTGATCTTGTTGTTAGCTTGGCCTTAAAACACCATGGTACTCATTTCATACTAAGGTCTGGATTGTCTCCATTGACTCCGTTAACAGGTGGGAGGGGCTAACTCCTTTTGCAGATTGAAACCATTGGATCTGAGTTTACTGTGACGTATGTAATGAGCCCGAGTGAGTGAGGCATTTAGCATTTAGCCTAGCTTTAGCATGTAGCCTAGCTTTAGCATTTAAGGGCGGCACGGTGGCTGAGTGGATAGCACTCTCGCCTCTCAGCAAGAAGGTCCTGGGTTCAAATCCCGGTTGGACCAGGGCCTTTCTGAGTGGAGTTTGCATGTTCTCCCCGTGTCTGCGTAGGTTTCCTCCGGGTGCTCCGGTTTCCCCTACCACTAAAAATATGTACAATAGTTCAGGCATGTGCCTCCTGTACTGGCGACCCCCACTCCCAAAAATAACAATTGTAAACCGCTTTGAGACTCCGATGTGCAGTGAAAAGGCGGTATATAAATAAAGTTTACTTACTTACTTACTTAAGCACTAGACTGTACCAAATGCACCAGACTGTACCAATCGCACCAGACTGTACCAATCGCACCAGACTGTACCAATCGCACCAGACTGTACCAAAGGCACCAGACTGTACCAATCGCACCAGACTGTACCAAATGCACCAGACTGTACCAATCGCACCAGACTGTACCAATCGCACCAGACTGTACCAATCGCACCAGACTGTACCAAATGCACCAGACTGTACCAATCGCACTAGACTGTACCAAATGCACCAGACTGTACCAAATGCACCAGACTGTACCAAACGCACCAGACTGTACCAAACGCACCAGACTGTACCAATCGCACCAGACTGTACCAAATGCACCAGACTGTACCAATCGCACCAGACTGTACCAAATGCACCAGACTGTACCAATCGCACCAGACTGTACCAATCGCACCAGACTGTACCAATCGCACCAGACTGTACCAAATGCACCAGACTGTACCAATCGCACTAGACTGTACCAAATGCACCAGACTGTACCAAATGCACCAGACTGTACCAAATGCACCAGACTGTACCAAACGCACCAGACTGTACCAAATGCACCAGACTGTACCAATCGCACTAGACTGTACCAAATGCACCAGACTGTACCAATCGACTGTACCAATCGCACCAGACTGTACCAATCGCACTAGACTGTACCAAATGCACCAGACTGTACCAATCGACTGTACCAATCGCACCAGACTGTACCAATCGCACTAGACTGTACCAAATGCACCAGACTGTACCAAAGGCACCAGACTGTACCAATCGCACCAGACTGTACCAATCGCACTAGACTGTACCAAATGCACCAGACTGTACCAAATGCACCAGACTGTACCAAACGCACCAGACTGTACCAAATGCACCAGACTGTACCAAATGCACCAGACTGTACCAAATGCACCAGACTGTACCAAATGCACCAGACTGTACCAAATGCACCAGACTGTACCAATCGCACCAGACTGTACCAAATGCACCAGACTGTACCAATCGCACCAGACTGTACCAAATGCACCAGACTGTACCAATCGCACTAGACTGTACCAATCGCACCAGACTGTACCAAACGCACCAGACTGTACCAAACGCACCAGACTGTACCAGACTGTACCAGACTGTACCAAATGCACCAGACTGTACCAAACGCACCAGACTGTACCAAACGCACCAGACTGTACCAAACGCACCAGACTGTACCAGACTGTACCAGACTGTACCAATCGCACCAGACTGTACCAAACGCACCAGACCGTGTAATCGATAACAATAACTATGAAAACAAAGTGATTTGATGGTTTTCCAAGAGTCCACAGCTTTCACTTCATCCAGAGCTTTTTTGGCGAGAAGGACGTGAAATGAGAGAAACAAAGATGGGATAAAGTGATTGAAAATGTGGAAAGAGGAGAGCGAGAGAGCAGCTGGAGGACAAGCGCACAGGCTCACATTCTGCCTCACCATCAAATCCTCAGGAACGCCGTAATGTTCCCGGCCTGAATCCGGTTTATAATGTCAAACAGAGATGGGTATCACTCTGACCGGCTGATACTGCTGCTTCAGTCCAACTACAGGAACCCAGGGGCCCATTCAATAAGCAAAGAGTCAGGAGCCATTCAATAATTCAACTTTCTAAGTAAGTCCCGGCCACAAAAACACAGTTCATAAATGTTGCGGTGAAGCCGGACGTATAAGTCGGAGGTGAGTGGAGATTTTGAGAAGTGAGATTTTCCATTAAGAAAGTTGAGGCTTTTAAAAAATATATGTGTTTGTGTTTTTGAGTGGATTGTTCTTGTTCACTCGCAGACTATAGATCCACAAGAAGAAAAATAATAAAGCAAGAGGCAAGCGTGGTTTATGGAGTCTACGGAAAAGGGGGAAAAAGGCAAATACATCTTTTGTTTAATTGCGCTCTGTCGCTTTCTATACGACTTGGCTTCAGTTGCGGCTTCTTTGACGCTAATGAGAAATATACAGACTTCCAAAACAGCTTTATTTTCAGAGTTTCTCCCTGTGTCTATAATCACATTATTAGCTCCTTACCAGAGAGAAGTCAGACTTAATATTAACGAGTTGTCAGATCTAATCTACTTCAACAGAAATGATTCCCAGAGTGAGCTGCTGTGGGGAAAGAGCAGGTTTTAGCGTCAGATTGTCTGTTATTTCAGGGTCATCGAAGCATGTCACATTTTCCTTTAGCTTTAACATGATACATCATTAGGCGTGTGCTTATTATCCTTATCTCTCCTGGCTCTTTCTGTTTTATTTTGACATCACAGAGACTGCTTCTTTGGGAGAGGCTGTGTCTGACCCAGTTCCTCCCGATGATGGAAACAATGGAATCTAAAAGCCCCGTTCATTAAAAAACTCTAACCTTCAATTGAAATAACCGTGGACATAAGACATGGTACTTTGCTGTAATGAACTGCTACGGTATAGGGCTATAGACGGCTTAGCTGTGACCTCCCGCCACGCTCGGCTGCTTCCATATTGCCAGGACATCCTCGCTGCCATCGCAAAACGCTCCATTGGGTTAACACGCCACGCGAGCCCAGCGCCTCCAAATTGCTGCACAATCAATGGGTTTTTAATGCTCTGGTGTCCCCCCTTGATCGGAGCATGCTTGGCTAATTTGACGTGATTCACTGGCAGTGTGTAGAGCGCCGGCCGGTGTACTGGTACGCACAAGGCCATAAAGACGGACAGATTGGTGGCTATGATCCGCTGATGGTTATGACAGCTGGGGTGAGCTAGCAGCCGCTACGTGACAGGGAGAGGCTACAGGGAGCCATACAGGCCACATGCTTAGCTCTGGCAGACACGCAGCAAGATGTCCCCGG